TGATGTCACCATCCATAAAAATAGCTCTGCGTGCACATGGGGCATGCAAGCAGCAACAGTGCACATGGGGCATGCAAGCAGCAACAGTGCACATGGGGCATGCAAGCAGCAACAGTGCACATGGGGCATGCAAGCAGCAACAGTGCACATGGGGTATGCAAGCAGCAACAGTGCACATGGGGCATGCAAGCAGCAACAGTGGATATGAAGGGTGCACGTGGTAGTACAGTGCAGTTAGTGGGAAATGGGACCACATGGGGCAGCCATGGGGATGCAGGGTTTAGGGTTCAGGGGAATAAGGATTTTATTATTTGGAATAAACGAGGACTTGACGAGTACGACTTTTGAGTCGACTCAAAAGTACTTGTACAAGCGATTGGTAATGAGCGACGTGGGAAAAGGGTCAGAAAGGAAAATGGTAGTTGTGGAAGGGAAGGGAAATGACTCCAGTCTTGAAAATTTGCGGGAGATACAATCAATTAAGCTGGAAAGAGCAGGATCAGGGGTGCAGAGGAGTGAAGGAGGGTGCTGGAGGGGCACATTGGATAGGCAGGGCAGGGTCCAACATTCAGTTGACCTGGTATGGAACAATAGAAGAGCAGCACTCACAGGTGACTTTTGAGTCGACTCAAAAGTCAGGGCCTAGTCCAACATTCAGTTGACCTGGTTTGGAGCCACGGAAGAGCAATACTCACAGGTGCGTGAGGCCAGTGAGACTGGCAAGGGATGGAAGGGCCCGAACAGATTGACGTTGGTCAGATCACTGCGGGATGGGATGGGAGCGCGAACAACAGTGGAGATGGCAAGAGGAGGATAAAATGGAGTTATCTCTTGCAATGAAGGCATGCATGCAGCTTGTGGTCCGGCTAGGCATGCAAGGGAGGCATGCAAGGGAGGCATGCAAGGGAGGCATGCAAGCGAGGCATGCAAGGGAGGCATGCAAGGGAGGCATTCAAGGGAGGCATGCAAGGGAGGCATGCAAGGGAGGCATGCAAGCGAGGCATGCAAGGGAGGAATGCAAGGGAGGCATGCAAGGGAGGCATGCAAAGGAGGCATCCAAGGGAGGCATGCAAGGGAGGCATACAAGGGAGGCATGCAAGGGAGGCATCCAAGGGAGGCATGCAAGGGAGCCATGCAAGAGAGGCATGCAAGGAAGGCATGCAAGGGCAGGAAGAGGGTATGGTCAGTAGGGTTGTGGCATGTGAATGCGAAAAACGAGATTGGCAGAGCAGTACGAGGTTGGGGCGAGGCCAAGGCAAATGACAGAAAGGAATGGTAGATGCAATGCAAGATGGATGTAGACTGTAGTGGAGAGAGAGAGGGGTGGGTGGGTGGGTGGGTGGTGGTGACGCACAGGAGTTGCAGAGTGGAAAGACCGGTGATGGAGGCAGGTATGGAGTAACTGTAAAATTCCCAATTAGGCCATATTAGCTTTGAATCCCTGCCAACACACAAATGCATGAACACACGCAATACCAACCAGCTCCCATTCCTCCCCCATCTCCCGCCCACCCCAGTTTCCTTCCCCAAATATCCAGTCCTCCCCCATCCCACCCCCCACATCCTTCAACCCATCCCCCCCTTTGTCCGGATTGCAATGCTCCCACACACACACAATCCAACACAATCGAGAGGAGCAGACAGCGGAAGGCGCGATACAGTGAAACACTGTGGGGGAAAGGAGGACAGAGGGGGCCAATGAGGAGTAACGACGGAGTACTGAGGGGGCATAAACGCCCGTGCCTTAGACTAGGTTGGCCAAAACGAGGGTTATTCAGCGCTACAACATTCCCCTAACCCGTTGGTGTAAGACTGGAGCATGACACCCGTGCTGCCCTGGAGTCAAAACGTCCTCGTCGGATCAGGGGATCGCTTCCCAGGAACCTCGGAGTTGGGTTACCACAGTCGAATATTCGCTCCACCACATTTTCAGGCGAAAAAACGTGGCTAGCTGGATTCGAACCCTTGGCTACGGATACCAATACAACGCCCGTGACATAGACCACGGCCTAACTGGGAGGCAATTACAGCAACGAGGCCAATTAGGACATGTTAATAAAGGGAGACACACAGCACCGAGCGGAAGTCTAGTGTAACGAGAACAGCGAGTGGCGGAACGATCCTCACAGGGGGGTGAGGAGCCCTTTGGGGCTGCATGTGACGCCCTCCCATGCAGAGCACGCCGTGGTGGCGTTGCTGTTGTTCGGCCAAATGCCCCACGCTGCATTCAGCTGCAGCAGCACCTTCACTGCCGGTACAGAGAATGCAATCGGGAGGGGAGAGGAGGGAGGGGAAGAGGGGGGGGGAGCACGTCGTGGTGGCGTTGCTGTTCCCGCCCACACGCCCCCACGCCGCCTTCAGCTGCAGCAGTGCCTTCACAACGTTGAAATGGGAGCACATTAACTGTAGCGAAAAAAAGCCGGGGCCTTTGACAGCACATCTACCTCAGTGCCGGCACGTGCGCCTGGGCTGGGTCGGATGTGACGTCGCACTTTGAAGGGCGGCCCGCACTTTGACGTCGGATTCTCTCTGTAACGCGAGTGGGCCGGGCTAGTGTGGCTAGTGTTAAGGGCATTCCGCTGCACCAAAATAACACCCTCGTCTTGACCCAGTGGTTTAGCGAGGTGTTATACTCTCTCTGCTCATGAGAAGTGGAGCTCTGAGTGCGGATTCTGGACCACCAATCGAGTTGACTTTTGAGTCGACTCAAAAGTCAACTCTGAGTGCGGATTCTGGACCACCAATCGAGTTGACTTTTGAGTCGACTCACAAAGTCAACTCTGAGTGCGGATTCTGGACCACCAATCGAAATGGGAGGATGATATCGCGTGAGGAAGCTCGCTGAGAGCCTCTGACTTCTGGACAACCGACTCACATTGCGAGCTTTCGAGAACGATTCCAACGCTCGCGTCGGCCGCGGCAGCGCTGCCGGTAGCGGCGAGCTTCAAAAGAGAGCGTTGGGCACGGCTGGGCTGAGCGCGAGACAGCAGGCGTTGTCTGGACGGAAGCCGCTGTGGGACATCTCGCCGCCGCGGCGGTGGGCGATTAGTAGTAGTACTAGTACTAACGCTGGAAAGGGAGCAAGCAGCAGCGCCGATAGTGATCGTAAGGGCTGCGAGGAGGAGAACGCAAGCTCCGGCGTTACTGCAGCGGCGTGCGGCGGCACGCCTGGGAAAACGCCGCATTATGATATAAGCGGCGGCGTGCAGATTTAAAATCGTATCGTCTGACAAAAGGAGAGTTTGGCAGGTCACGGCTTGGCAAACAAGATAGGAGCTGTAGTGGTGGGGCTCATGATGTTCATTCTTTCTAGCTCTGCTCACCGATAGAACACGCCTGCCAAACCAATGCCCTCACCTCACCTCACGTCACCTCACTCCAAATCGTGGTACAGTACGTTGATAGGAGCATCGTGGACAAAGAGTCGGCACGTCGAATCGTGTAGACCTAGTATGTAAGGAATTTTCCCGAATTCCTTATCGGGGTTGACTGCTTCGCGTACAACCCGATTTCGGAGTTCGCACGTTCGGCCGATTTCAACGCTGCCGAGGCTCCTCGCGTCGCCTTCGGCTTTCTCATCGCCAAACCTGCACCCAACCTCGTTTGCCCGAGGTTCTCTCCTAGCTAGCGTAGTTCTATATTAGTTTGGGCATTCATTGTATTCGCAGTTGATTGAGTCACAGCTCCGTTATTCGTTTTACCTGCGCACTCTCTTTTACAAACTCATAACATAGTAAGTGACCTAGCAAGAGTCCTATATGTGCGACTCAAAACGGTCCAATAGTTTCCTGCCAGGGCCTGTGCTAGGATTTTGGGCACCCTGAGCCCTCAGGGTAACTTTTGAAAAATCTCTGAAATGCCCTGATTCTTCAGGGCAGAATTTTCTGGCCATCCTGAAATTTCAGGGCACCAGCAGTAATTCATATGGATGATTCAGGGCAAAAAATACGAGGCACTAGAGAGGATGGAGGGGAAGGCACGAAAGGAGCAGGTTGTTCACTGGTTTCACTTCTACTGGCGGAGCAAAAAACATTGGTGGGGTAGGGGTGAGGACAAAACTAGCACACACACCCTCCAGCCTCCTTCCTCCCCTCTCTCCCTCTCCCTCTCCCTCTCTCCCCCCCTCCACCCTTTCTCCCCTTCCCACGAGTCAGGGAATCCCTCTACATTCACCCTAATGCTTCAGGGCAAAAATTCACTGCCATTCTGAAATTTCAGGGCAAAACACAAGGATCATCCTGACGTCACAGGGTAAATTTCAGCATCATTCTGAAATTCCAGGGCAAACTTAAGACACCATCCTGAAATCAGGGTAATCAGGATGTTTTGCCCTGATATCGTGGGCCCTGTTTCCCTGCTATGTTCAAGTTACAGTACTTTACTGGGTGGTAGATTGATAGACATTCCCACAATGTTACACACGATAAATAAGCACTTTGGATAATACTTCCAGAATCCTTAGTTATTATCTTCTCATATTTTCTAGTGCTACAGAGCACTCCACTTTTCTTGCCTTAAAATTCCTAGTACCACAATGCATTTTCCAACCACCACTATTTCATAATGTAATGAAATTTCCTATACCGGTATCGATACTGAACACATCATCATCGAGTACAAGACCAACCGTACTTAGCCCATTACTGGTAACGGTGGTTGGCCACCTTCTCCCGCATCACTTTCACCAAACCACGCTCTGCTGCACTCCGTGAGTCAACCTACACTTCAAAAGACCTCGCTTCCAGCATTGCACAAAAGCTAGCTCGGCCGCCCATTACGCAACCCAGGATGGCAGTGCCATCATTGTCAGTTTGTGATCAGCGTTGCCATCATCATCCTTATCAGTTGTTATCACATGTTCTGCCGTTGTGTTGTGCCACCGCAACTGTCGGTTGTCTAGCACCAGAATCTCCGCGTCTTGCTCTCTGCACAAACACAGCAGCAGCAGCAGCAGCAGCAGCAGCAGCAGCAGCAACAGTGCAAGGGACAGACAAAAAGAGTTAGCAGTGAAGAAGGGATGAGACGACATCAACAGCAAAGCACACACCTCCTGCCACACAGGCTTCAGCAACTTGCCAGGAGACACAATCACAACCACCCCTCTCCTCACCTTCCCCCGCCCCACCCACGGGACTCACAGAGCATGCGTGCGGATGAGCAGGTCCCCCTCTCTGCGCCGAGACACCCCCTCCTGTTTCTCCAAGCGCCGGCTCGGCTATGTCTTGCCTCGCCGCAACACCCGCCCGCTGCCTGCTTCCCCTCTGCCTGCACCCTTTGCTTCTTCTGCCACCTCCCCTCACTGCTGGTGTCATTGCCTGCTGCCCTGCCCTCATCCCCCTCTCCTGCCGCGTTTCAGTCCGTGACCGTTGCATGGGAGGTGGCACGAGAACCAATCCAACATCCTGTTTCACACAAACACCCATCTGCTCCAACTGCTCCCTCTGCTCCTGCTGCTCCCTTGCCTGCCTCTCCTGCCTTGTGTCAGTGCGGGACCGTCGCATGGGTGGCGCCGCTGCTGCTTCCATTCCCACATCTTGTTTCACACACGCACCCATCTTCTCCAGCTGCTCCCTCGCCCGCCTCTCCTGCCGTGTGTCTGTGCAGGATCGTCGCATGGGAGGAGGTACAAGCGCTGGTGATATGACAGCATGCTCTCTCGCTCCTTGCATTGCCCCCATTCTCTCTCTCCCTCTCGCATCCGGCTTCGCATTTGGACTCAACCCCAGCAACCCCCTTCCCATGCTCAAGCTCCTTCCCATCCCTCCTCTACCTCCCACACTAGGCCCAATGCTCACCACCCCTCTTTCCAACTCCAAGCACATCTCCACCCCATCCAATCCCATCCCCACCCCACCAGCAACCCATCCCAACCGTCTCACAAAGCTCCTCCAGCCTCCTTGACTCCCCCCTTCCGGGCATCTTCACCATCCAAGCACCTCCCTCCTCCCACTCGCCCTCCCTCACTCTTACCTCCCTCACTCCCCTCTCACCAGCCTCTGCCAACAAGTCTTCCTCCTCCTCCTCCTCCCTCCTCCTCCTCTCTCTCTCCAGCTGCCTGCTCCAGCTCCCTCAGACTCGCTTCCTCCTCCTGGGCTGCCACGTCAGCCTGGTGACGATAGCTGCTGAAGGGCGGGTGGTAAACCACAGCGCTCGCTTTGAGGCCCACTGCTCCCTTCCCTCCTGCTATCCCTGCTGCCTCTGCTGCTCTCCCTGCTCTTGCTTTCCCAGTCGCAGCAGCAGCAGCAGCAGCAGCAGCACCACCACCACCACCGCTATTGGCAGCAGCAACAGCACCAGCACCATTGGCAGCCGTTTGCAGCAACAGCAGCATTAGCACCACCGCCGTTTGCAACAACTGCAGCGGCGGCGGCAGCAGCAGCCGCAGCGGCAGGGCAGCGGGTGCTGAATCGCTTCCCACCAGCCAGCAAGATGGGCTGTGGGTGCAGGAGCGCTGGGGCGGCAGAGTTGGCACGGCTCAGAGGCCTAGGCTTGGCCGAAGCTGAAACCGAAGCTGAGAAAGAGAGGGAGAGCAAGGGGCGAGGGACTACGGACGGGGGTGATGGGAGAGGGACGAGGGACGTGGGAGGGGGTGACCAAGGGAGTGGGGGAGAGGGACGAGAGGTGGATGAGGAGGGCGAGGTGCGGCATTGGGTGCTGTTCTTGCTGTAGTTACTGCTCGATGTGTCCTGGCTGCTGCCAGTGCTGGTGCCACTGCCGGTGCCACTGACACCTCCTCCCCCCCCACTGCTGCCAGTGCTGCTGCTCTTGTGGAAAACCACCGCCGCTCGCCCGCACTCCTCCCGCGCTCCCCTGCTCTGCTTGCCTGCTCGTGCAGTCAAATCAGCCTGCCTCTCACGCTGCCGTTGACTCGCCTCCACCGCAGCAAGCGAAGCCGCAGCGGATTGCTGCCTCCTCAGGCCGGGGGACGGCGGGAAGGCGCCGGGAGGGCGGGAGGCGTGGGGAGGGCAGTAGGCGGGACGATGACGCTGCTGATGCGTGCGAGGGGAGAGCCGGTGGTGATATCAAGTGCGAGGTGCGGCTTTCCATGCATGCGTCGTGGTCAGGGCTCTGGGGCGTGGGTGGGGGTCCCAACGGCCGGGACCGACCCCCATGCACTCCGCTGCTCACTCCACCACCTGTGCTCTTCCGTCTGCCGGCCTGCCCGCTGCTGTCGCTCTTATCAGCGCTCTTATCAGCCCCACCGAATTGCCACCATGCCGACACGTGTTGGCTCTTTCCCGCCGCTGCTGACGTCGCCGCCGCGTCATCTCCCTGGCGTGCCCTCGCCCTCGCACCTCCCTGCGCTGCAGTCTCACGGCCCTCTGGCACAGCGGCTGCACCGGCTGCCGTGGGTGTGTTCCAACTCGCACCTGCACCTGCACTCACGCAGTGGTGCTCGCTCGCAGGCACGCCACCTGCAGCTGTGGGTGCTGTGGGTGCTGCTGCGGGTGCTGCAGGTGCTGCGGGGTACTCGCTGGGATCAAACGCGCGGACGCGGTTGCTCCCCCGCACGCCCTCGCACCGCAGCAGCACGGGCCGCCCACCTTCCCTGTGCCTGCTGCTGCTGTCGCTGCCACGGCCGGTGCTGCCGTCACTCCCACTGCCATCGCTACCGTCGCCTCTCCTGCCTGCCTGCGCGTCCGCTGCAGCGCGGGCAACGGCCGCCCTGCTGGCTTGGCGGACAGACGCTTCCACACAGCTTCGCGGACCTTCCCCATTCTCCGTTTCTGCCGCGCTCGCCACCGTCTGACTCCCGAGGCACGACACGCCCTTCGTCCACCAGCAACACGCCCTCCGCCTCTTCAAACCAATCCTCGTCCCTCCTCACCACTCCCAACTCCTCCCCATCCACTCCCAAGTCTATCACTAGTCCTTTGTCTCGCCCCTGCCGCTGCAGCGCTCGCTGCTCCTCGCTGCCACTGCTGCCCCCAACGCCCCACGGATCGCCCCCGTCGCCGCTCGTGGCGGCGGACAGCACAGCGCTGCTTTCATCCTCGCTATGGTGCTCCTCGATATCTGCGTCCAGGTCCCACTGGTCAATCCCCGCTGCCTCCCCTTCGCTGCTTGTATCGCGCCAGCTGTTGTTTCCTTCGTCACAGCCCCCGTACGTATTACAAGCGCGCCCGCTTGCTCCTAACGAGTCGTCATCATCAGCGACTCGCAACCCCCAACTTCCGCCGCCGCCGCTACCGTTCTCCCGTTCGTGCTGCTCCCCTTCCGAGCCGCCACTTTCCCTTTCCTCTCTCGTAACCTCTTTCTCCTTTCGCCCCATTTCCTTCGGACCCGATTCTCGCCTTAATTTCTCCGTCAGATATTTCTCCATCTCCCTTCGCCGTTCGTCCACGTCAGCAATGTCGCTCTGCGTGTCACTTCGATCCAGCGACCGCTGCTGCCAACCCTGCGCCTTTCCCATTGCTCCCTCCGCCACTCCTTCCGCGCCGTCCGTCCCCCACAACCCAGCACTGCCACTCTCCGCGGCGCCTGCTGTTCTCGCGCGCGGCAATCCGCGGCCCCCATAATCCCCGCCGCCTCCCCCCGCGGGCGCGCGCACCAGCTCGTACACGAACACGCTCCGCTTGCCCTTCCCCCGCCGCTGCTTCTTGCGGAACACACCGCCTCGGGCACGCCCCGCATCCGCGGGCGGCCTTCCCCCTTCCACGATTAGCACGTCGCGCACGCTCCGCTCGCCGCCACCGCCTTCACTGCGCGCCGATGGGTACAGCGCCGTCCGTACCGACGCTGCTTTATCCCCGTCGCCGCCCAACGCGCCGCTGCTGCTGCCGCCGCCGCGGATGTCAATCGCCAACGCCGGCGCTGCGTGGCGTCCGGTTGCTGTCACCGCCAATTTCGCATCCTCAGACGGCTTGCCGGTCCGGCTTTCGGCTGCCGCGCCTCCCGCTCCTTCCGCTTCTCCCGCTCCGCCCGTTCCTGCCACTCCCGTCGCGGTGTCCCACAACCAACACGCAATCCCCATCGGCGCTGTGCGCGGCCTCGATTTCCCACGGCTGCGCGACGGGAGCGGCTTATCCGCGAGGTTGCGGTGTGGCGGCGACACGTGGTGACCATGTAATTCGGAATTCGCTAACGCGTTGTTGTTTGAGTCGAAAGCTCCGTTACAATGTAACGGCTCCCCAGCGGGGAATGGGATGACCAGCGATGGTCGTGCGAGCAGGTGACTCTTGGCGGAGGCGCCGACTGTTTCAACAGCTACCTCGGTCTTCTTCGCGCCTTTCATATTTGCCCGCGCCGCCGCTGGTCGCGCTGACGCCGCGTTCGCGCTGTCGCCGCCACCGCCGCCGGCGCCATCACATTTGCGCTTCGAGTTGTTGCGGGTTACGTTTCCCGAGGGAGCAGGGCGGCACTCCGTACCGTTGGAGAAGTACCGCCGAGCGACGTCGTTGCTAGTAAGCGATGGCACTATAACGGGGGGAACGAAGACGGAGGCCGGGGGGAGTTCGCGATGTGGGCGTACGTCGTTCCGCCCCGGCGCCTGAGCACATTCCGATGCCCAGAACGACAATTCGTGCGACGCGTTTTCACTCCGACCGTCGCACGAGGCGTCATTGGCTCGTCGCTCGATGTGTCGCACGTGGCGTCGCAGGGAGTCGTTACGGGAACCGCAGTCGCTGCTGGGCGAGCAGCAGACGGGGAAGGGTGCGACGCACGCGGCTGCGGGGCTCGTGGGCGGCCGCGTGAAGACCGGCAGGGACGAGAGGGAGGGGATTTTCGGAACGGTCCGCGTAGTTGGTGTTGCTGGCGAAAATCTTTCGTCGAAAGTTACATCGTCGCCGAAATCACTAAAATCGCCGGCGAAGTTGTGCGGAGAGAAGCAGGCCAGCGGCGAAAACATGGTGGCGCCGGTTTTCGCGCAAACTTCGCGATTGGCCGTGCTGATTTGACGTTTAGAAGCGAAACGAGGAGTCTGTCCGTCAGGGACGCGAGTGTCACACTAGCGCAGCAGGCGTCGAAGCACTCTGAGGGTACACTTCAGAGATGACGCTTCCACTAACAGCCTTATCTCACTCGCCAGCGGACGATGGTCCCAAGTGTAAGCACCGAATGAAACGACAGCTAAGAGTGGACGGGCCGCCGCAGTGACTTGCGGTGATAGTGGTGGGTGGGTGTCCTTGTCTGCGTATCGGCCCCGCCTCCGCTTCCGCCTTGGTTCCACCTTGGCCTCGTCGTGACAACGATAAGTACCCCTTGTGGGGTCTCTATGATTGCTCGTCCTAACTCGCCGTGAGTCGTGACCGCTCATCGCGTACGTTCGCGAGTCGTATTGACGGGTAGAGTTGCGAACTCCGTATGTTTCCCACAACAGTCGTCAGCCGGGTGGCACTCGCGGCCCGTGCAGATAGTTCCAAAAAAAAGGACACGGCAATGAGAAAAATATTGTTGGGATGAGCCAATGGGATTAAGGACCACGCGACGCGGATCAGGGCTTCAGCCTTCTAGAGTTGATGTTCGAGTTGTCTGTCTCGCTGGGACGAGTGAGGAGCGTCAGACAAATCATTGTGGAATGGACGCGGATTGATTCCATATCTGACGCTTATGGCAAAGGGAAGAAAGGGTTTTGGGTGGTTGGGAGTTGCGCACGGTTTGACACTATATACAGCGGCAGGTTTCGGTGCAGTGGCAAAATTCTGTTTGCGGTTGGCTGTGGGGGAGAGCGGGACCAGCAGGGAGAGGTGCTGATCAGGGGTCTTGATTCGTTTTGTGCCACCCTGTCAAATCAAAGTTCCAGGTCGAAGTCACACTGCCACTGCAGTGTTGCTGCCGCGTCGTACCCTAGAAATGGCAGGGTGTTGAAATATTTCTGGTCCGGTATGGCAGGGTGAAAATTTGAACTAGGCTGCAGCGGTCCAATCTGAGTGAGTGTCTCCGTGGAAAGGACTGAGCCAGTTTTCGAGCACATCCGACGCTTGTTTTGGTGTATGTGTGAGTGTCTCCCGGCAAGGACTTAGCCAGTTAAATGACTGAGGGACAAGAGTGCTGCCACTACCGAACTCGGCCAAGGCAGTGTGCTACAAGAACGAACAACTGCAAAACAACGCTCAAAATTTACGAGGCCTGATCGTGACAGGGTGGTAAAACCATTGAAACCTGTATTTACAGGGTGGTTTTGAAACACTACCCTAAAAAACAGGCTAATCAGGGTAAAATGTCCTGAAATCCTGAGGCCTGGTGCTGATGCAAGAGAGCTCAATTGAACTTCTGGGGCAATTTTCAGGGGGTGCATGGGTGCAGCTGTTTCCAAGTTACAGGCGCCTTTTTCATCAACTCGGTGAATGTTCCCCCTCCCTCAACGGCAAGGTTTTCCTGGCCTGAGTTGTTTGAAAAAATTCAAACCGCCCCGCGTCGGATCCTCGGAAGGCGTGTGAACTGTACGTAGATTTTCCAGCTGAAATATTTCCACCTTGTGCATGGGGTGGGTGGGGGGCCTGGTGCCCCCACAAATTTCTCGTGGTGGACACAAGACCATCGCACGTCAGCGTTGGATTGACAGGCAGTCCCTCCCTCCCTTTCCTCCGGCCCATCACCCTCTGCCAAAACTGTACCAGCAATTAGCGCAAGGAACGGGGAGTGCCCACCAGCCAGACTGGAACGCGCAGTCCTCGATCGACTGTGAGGGTCGCAGTGGCAGCATCGTAGATTTCACTTGGCTTGGCTGGCACACGGCAAGGGCGGTGCCAAGCGTTAGGGCGTGGAACTGGTCGTGGAAATCAGCGTGGTACCCTTCATAAGGTTTCCGTTCATTTCGTGAACATTTTTACAGGTTCACGTCACTGGTCACCATGATTACCACGATGCTGCAACCGGGTCTCGGAACACTAGCACAAAACCGCCACTGGGCTGTGCTTCCTTCCCACCTGAAGGCCCAACCAACTGGCCTGCGCATCCCCGCAAGGACACAAGGATGCCAGTCGCAAATTCATGAGTCGCAAAAGAATCGGTGCGACTGGGCTGTTGGCGATGATTGCAAAAAGTTTAAGCTTCGAAAACAGATCCTCTCATGCGTAACCTGATTTTGCTGAAGCCGCAAATCAGCAACCGGTTCCACGCCCTTGTTCCGGTTCAGCAGAAGTGCATCATTCGTTATGGAATAGTTTTAAAGTGTGGAAATTCCAAGTGCAGCCTTGTAATACAAGATATCAGTTAGATAAAGGATTATGCTTAAAGGATCAATCTCTTCGAACTACAAAATTACACATGAGAAATTACAGGATAACGAAAGCAATCTCTTCAAATCAGTATCACATAAGTCATGAATAGATTACCAGGTGATGACGGCATGTTCAACATGCTTGTAAAAAACACCAGACATAACTTCATTCGATATAACTAGACAGTCATGTGAAGCAACCCGTTACCTGGGTCTTTAATAATTTTGTTCACGTTGAGAAGACACACCCATAATTAATCACTAATGTTAAGACTACAGGGTGGTATATTTGGAGAGTTACGGAATTTCATGTTTAATACGCACGTGTACTGCCATAATGTCCATATTTAATGCCCTTTGGTTGACTTTAATTGTAGCCAACTCCATAGGCCATCACCTATCGAGCCAACACGCATGAACGAGCTCACATTAGAATGTGAGCCATGAGACTTTTCAGCCTCCCTCCCACTGCTCTCAAACGACGCAGCAGAAACATCCCTTGAAGATATACCCTCGTTGCCTTCACTCTCTTCCTTCGCAACACTCTCCCACTCGTCCTCCCTGTCGGGACAGTGCTTGGCAATGAGGGCGCTGAGGCGGCATGCCACATCCTTCATGGTGGGTCGCCGTGTGCCAGGAGACTTGATGCAGTCCAAAGCCAGGTCTGCAAAGTCGACTATTGCCTCCTCACTAACCGCTGGCATCTTGCTGTCCCTCAGCTCCTCCAGATCATACGCCTCCACCCTCTTCATTGCCTGGAGGGTGCAACACAAGGAAGCATAAGAATGGGAGAACAGGTGCAAAGGAACAAAATATGCAGGAAAGCTTAGTGGGAATATACGCGTATAGTGTATATATGCGTATCGTATGTACGGTAACGTATATACGCTAAATGCTTAAATGTCGAGTTGGTAATACGCTTTTTCGGGCAGGTAAAAAACTATCCCGAGCAGGGTGAAAAAAAAAACGTCGTGCTCAACACTGGGAAGGTGTTCCCTCTCACTAAGACTTTCGTAGCAATTCCCTAAGTCTGAACGGCGGTTGGGGTGGGATGTGGAGTAGACATTAGAAGAAGAAGTCGGTAGGAATCGGAAGGAGCTCTGTTGTTAGGGCGTATTCCTATCCTCCTATCAAGAAAACCTCCTATCAAGCTCTCACGGGAAAATTCCCTAAACCCCAAATCTCTCGCTACTTTTACCAGGCAAAAGGTACAATCTTGATAGGAGGTTTCTTGATAGGAGGCCGTAGGAATACGCCCTTAGGAAGCGGAAATGTCAGCTAGAAATGACGACTGTGTCAGAATTAGAAGGAAGAAAGAGGATTGAACTAGCAAGAATGAGGATACAAATAGCAAACCCTAGAAGGGTTGTACTCGCTATAGAGCACCCCACTACAGGCTAGAACAATAAGATAATATTCTGACACACCCCCATAGCCAAAGTGGGGTGTAATCAGCAGAGCAGGCAAAGCAAAACAAGCTCAGGGTGGATCACAATGTCACCACACATTCTGAGCACAAGTTCAAGAAGAAATAGTTTAGAGTTTACAATTATAAGCAAAGCTAGTGGTAGTCACAACGGGCAAGTGAGGAGGAAAAGGGAGAGTGAGGGGAGAGGAGACAGGAGGCGACGGCTGAAGCTGCAGACACACGGGCAACAGGAGGCAGACTGGCACAGCGGCTACCGGACAGCGCCCGGACTACAGGGGTAACAGGCCCCGCGGCTCAAATAGCGGCGGACGGGCAACGGACCCACGGGCGGCTGGCACAGCTGGCTACGACTGGGCTACCGGGACAGCGCCCCGGACTACAGGTGCTGCTGACGACAAACTGGCAACCTCCGCTCATCCTCCCGCACACAGTCCCACCCCCCTGATACACACCCACTGCTACACCACTAGCTCGACTCCCACACACCCCACTAAAACCCTAAACCCCAGTCTCCCACACAACCACCCCCCTCAGCGACAGCTGCAGCAGTGGGAGACGAAGGAGGAGGAGGAGAAAGGGAGGAAGGCACACCGGCCACCCCCATACCCGCCACCCCACAGCTCGCCCCTCAGGTCGCCACGACGGGCGACGGGAAATGGGGGAAGGGGAGAAAGGGGGGGGGGCCCACCACGGACCTGAGGGGAGGGCGGGGCCGCGACAAGGGGCGGGGCCGCGACGAGCGGGGCGGGGCCGCGACGGTCGGGGTGGGACCGCGACGTAGGGTGGGGCCGCGACAGGTCGGGGCCGCGAAGGTAGGGCGGGGCCGCATAGGGTCCGGGGCGGGGCCGCGACGTAGGGCGGGGCCGCTTCGAGGGGCGGGGCCGCGACGCAGGGGCGGGGCCGCGACGAGGGGCGGGGCCGCGACGGTCGAGGCGGGGCCGCGACGGAGGGGCGGGACCGCGACAGGTAGGGCGGGGCCAAGCCGGGCAGGCGCACGGGCGGCGACGGGCCGGGGCGGGGCCGCGACGTAGAGGAGAAGCCCGCCGCGCGCCCCGGGGCGCACAGCGGGCAATGAACCGCCGCGCGCCTCGGGGCGCACGGCGGGCAGAAAACCGCCGCGCGCCTCGGGGCGCACGGCGGGATGAAAAAGTAGCAGCGGAAGCAAGGTGGGGACACACGCACAGGATCGATCCAAGGGGATCGACCTGCTCTGATAGCATGTCAGAATTAGAAGGAAGAAAGAGGATTGAACTAGCAAGAATGAGGATACAAATAGCAAACCCTAGAAGGGTTGTACTCGCTATAGAGCACCCCACTACAGGCTAGAACAATAAGATAATATTCTGACAGACTGGAATTTTGCTGGCTGGTAAGTAGCGTGAGTGGGGTTTGGTGGGGGACGTTTTTGACAGGTTGGAGTTCGTAGATAAGATGGGTTTCAATGCAGTACTAACCTAATGTTCAAATTTGAACTGCCTGCAAACTCCGAAGGTACATTCCCGCTTCCCTAGACCGTCGAATTGCATTTCGACTTCGGCGAAATGCTCAGCAGAAAGATCCGCATCATTCCGTATACAAGCGATTTTTTTTCCTGGGCAGCCCGAAAAACTTTCCGATAGCGTATAGCGTACTAGCTAGCGTATTGCGTTTTGCGTACACAATACTAGCGTATATACGCCATACGCTTTAGGGTTTGAGCGTATATTCCCAGTAAGCAGGAAAGGTGGTGGAAGGGAGCATAGCAACAAGAAAGGGAGTGAAGGTCAGTATAAAAGGAATCAAGGATAACTGTACGAGCATAGAATAAACTTGAGAGTAAATGGGCATGAACATTGTCTCATAACCATTGATTTGTTTCTTAACAGACTCAACAGTTTGTTATCATACCCATTTGCTTATATGCGTTTTTGCGTCGACTCGTGGCGGCTTTCCACTCAGCAACTCAAGAAGCACGATTCTAAAGCTGCAAGCAACCATGCATTGGAAGTAGTGAAATGAACTTGGAAAACAATGGGGAGAGGTACCGGGTACAAGTTTCCAACATACCCTGGATGATTCATAACCACAGGTGCACAAGTTCATGGCGTTGTGCAAATGAACGAGCACACATGCTCACCTGAACACGTCACTCTTGGCTGTGATGACGTTGGTGCGGTTGTAATCCGGATCCACATATCCCGGAGTGCCGGCCACTCGCGTGGCATCAGCATCGCCGTGAGTGAGGCGTTTGAGCAGCCCAAAGTCAGCCACCTTGGCTTGCATGTCGGCAGACACAAGGATGTTGGCTGGCTTGATGTCGCGATGAACGATGGGTGTGTCAAACCCATGCAGGTACGCCAGGCCATCTGCTGCTCCCTGTGCTAGGCGCAACCTCTGGCGCAGCGACAGCGGACCTAGGTCATGAAATATGTACACCAACAAGCGAGTGAAAAATGAAAAATAAGTTATGAATGATGGCTTCTTTAGTGATGGTGTCATGTCTTGTGCAAAACAGAAAGAGAAAAAGAAAAAATCGCATGGCATCCATTTCGTCATTGTGGCTGTGCAACTCACGCTTGGTTGCATGGATATGGTACTCTAGGTCCCGGTTGCCTATAAACTCGTACACCAGAATCTGCTCCTGCTTGCCCGTCTCCACGTTCTGGTCCAGGCAGAAGCCCAGCAGGCGCACGAGGTGTGTGTGGTGGAGAGACGCCATGGTTCGCACCTATAGTGAGAAGACAATACAGGCAGACGCACATGGCCGAGGAAAGGTGGGCATTGAATATGCAGGTCGGCAGTTGCCACACGGACGTGGAACACAATGCAGGGGGATGCGTATGGGCTACAAGTCAGCATCTTGAAAAACAGAATGCGCGCACTGAATTTGCAGGTCGGCGTTCTGAAAACAATGGAGTATTGTTAGAACCCCACACACTACATTACTGGGATAAAATGGCTTGTTGAGTAGCGAGTGCACCCATAATTTCCTAGGCAAGCGTGCATGAAACTCTTTCTTGGGATCAATCGGGGATTTTCAGTGCAGGTCTACTGACACCCCTTTGTCATTGGGATGCTCTAGAACACGGTATAGCAGCAGAGACACATGAAAGCCAGCATGTGAGCACACGATTCGAATCCAAGACCTTCGCTCTGATACCATGTCAGAATTTCAGCCACTACAACACTGACATAAAATGGGTGAGTGAACCCTTAACCTCTAGACAAACGTGTCTGTAACCGTTCCTTAGGATCAATCGGAAAATCCCCAGTGCATGTCTTATGACAAGTACCAATTTTGTGCCTCACCTCCGTTTCAAAGTCGTTGGTCATGATGGTGGAGCGCTTGATGGCCCACAGCTGGCCATGTGACGAGCGGCCTTTGTAGACAATGCCGAAGCCTCCCTTGCCCAGCACATTGTCGTCCGACCAGTTGTTGGTGGCCTTAAGCATCTGCTGCAGCGAGAACTGCTCACACACATCCAACCCCTCCCACTTCTCTGCGCACACATGAGGACAAGGGGGATGAACGACCAGGGGAGTAAATGAGTAGACAGAATATGGGAGCAACGAAGAGGCAGAGCTGAGCGGCAGTAATAATGGCAGAGCTGGGGAGGGAAGGAGGCCAGAAAACAGGCACAGCAATAGGGGAGACGGAAATGAATGGAACTGAAGAAGGGATGAAGAGCTCACTTGGTCCACGGGGCCACAGCAGCCATGTGACCACAAAAGCCAGCAAAATGAAGCCAGCAAAGCAGCCTAGAGTAATGCCCACTATGGCACCCGTGGATAGCGACGACACTGCCAACGAATGGGAGGTTACGGGAATCGGGGCGGTGGTTAGACGAAGGTGTCGAGGTGAGGCAAGGAGTGAAAAGGTGTGTAGGAGAAAAGCCAGCTGACATGGGTATTGGTGCAGCGCGTAAGAATGGGCAATGCTGCCAGGCTGAGGCGGTGCTGAAAGCCTAGGCAGTTTCATAAGAATGAAGCAAAGGTTACCAGTGGTGGTGGTGGAGTTGACAATGGCGCATGTGGAGCCGTTGCCTGAGTTGAGAGTGGAGTAGCCGGCATCGCAGAGGCACGTGAAGTTGGAGGGGGAGGCTGTCCGCGATGCTGCTGCAGAGGTAGGGTCAGCCGGCACACACACCCCATGGCCGTCACACGGGCCGTTGTCCGTGATGCTGCAGAACGCCTGGCAGGCTGCCGTGCTGCGCTGGGTGGCGTTGACCGAGCACTCCGTGCTTGGGCTGAGCGTCAGGCAGTTGCCCGACAGACTCACCCTCAGCTTCAGCCCGGCCCCTGTCACGGCGTAGTCTTGTAGTAGGTAAGAGGGTAGTGCATTGTTGCAATTGCCGTCAGAGACTCGCCAGTTGGAGGTGGCTTTGAGGCCGAGGCTGTTGGGCTCGCTGACCTCGGTGGGGCAGACCTTGCAGCCAGCAGCAAAGAGCACGGCTTCCCCAAAGAAGAAGTTGCGAGCCAGGTTGACGAGGGCGCCGCTGTTCGCCACCATGCCCTTGAAATCGCGGTTGATGCGTCCATACAGGCTGTTGCCGCTCACATCACTGTGGGTGGGAGGCACGGAAGAGGGGGAGGGGGGGGGGCGGCACATGGAGGTTAGATTGAAGCGCCGCTGTTCGCCACCATGTGCTTGAAGTTGCGGTTGATGCGCCCATACAGGCTGTTGCCGCTCACATCACTATGGGTGGGAGGCACGGAAGAGGGGGAGGGGGGGGGCGGCACATGGAGGTTAGATTAAAGCACCGCTGTTCGCCACCATGTGCTTGAAGTTGCGGTTGATGCGCCCATACAGGCTGTTGCCGCTCACATCACTGTGGGAAGAAGTGGGGGGGGCGGCACATGGAGGTTAGATTGGTGCGCCGCTGATCGCCACCATGCCCTTGAAGCCGCGGTTGATGCGCCCATACAGGCTGTTGCTGCTCACATCACTGTGGGAAGAAGTGGGGGGGGCGGCACATGGAGGTTAGATTGGTGCGCCGCTGATCGCCACCATGCCCTTGAAGTCGCGGTTGATGCGCCCATACCATACAGGCTGTTGCCGCTCACATCACTGTGGGAAGCACAAGGGCCACAGAAAGAGCCGAACATGCTGTTGAGTGTTTGGTTGGAGGATTCCCACCATATGGTCTGCAACACCAAGCAAGCAAGCACATGCATGTCATCACTCGATGCATTTCATCACTCGATGCATGTCATCACTCGATGCATGTCATCACTCGATGCATTTCATCACTCGATGCATGTCATCACTCGATGCATGTCATCACTCGATGCATGTCATCACTCGATGCATGTCATCACTCGATGCATGTCATCACTCGATGCATGTCATCACTCGATGCATTTCATCACTCGATGCATTTCATCACTCGATGCATGTCATCACTCGATGCATGTCATCACTCGATGCATTTCATCACTCGATGCATTTCATCACTCGATGCATGTCATCACTCGATGCATGTCATCACTCGATGCATGTCATCACTCGATGCATGTCATCACTCGATGCATGTCATCACTCGATGCATGTCATCACTCGATGCATTTCATCACTCGATGCATGTCATCACTCGATGCATGTCATCACTCGATGCATGTCATCACTCGATGCATGTCATCACTCGATGCATTTCATCACTCGATGCATGTCATCACTCGATGCATTTCATCACTCGATGCATTTCATCACTCGATGCATTTCATCACTCGATGCATTTCATCACTCGATGCATTTCATCACTCGATGCAGTGCCCATGTTGGGGGTGCGAGCTGTTGCATCTACGCATGAGAGAATAGTGTATGCATGGTCGGCTCACATTTGGTTGATGCACTTGTCAAAGAGGCAGTCTGGCAGGGGTCCATAGAGGTAGTTGTTGCTGATCATGCTGCCAGCACAGCAGCACAACACATGCTGCACCATGAGTCATACACCCATACAAAATGGCAACACACCATGGAGAGATATTATGCTGATAATTTCTAGCTTTATGTGTTCAGCAAATATACAAAACTGCTTGCAATAAGCGACAGCCTGTCTATCCTAGCTGGGAAATAATAATAATAATAAAAAAAACAAACAGTAATGCCCCACAGCCAAGCGCCACGACCACTCACAAGCGCCACAGCAGGGGCAGCGAGCACAGGCCAGTTGGCAGAGAGCCTTCAACCTTGTTGTTGTCCAACCAGCTGCGGGGGCAGAGCATTGGCAGGAGGCAGGAGGCATGAAGAGCAAATGGTAGGCAGAGCAGTGGCAGGCAAAGAATTCGCAGGAAAATCAATGGCAATGAGCACAGGCCAGTCGGCAGAGAGCCTTCAATCTTGTTGTTGTCCAACCAGCTGCGGGGGCAGAGCAGTGGCAGGAGGCAGGTGTCGGAGTTACCGCTATGCTCTTCTCTGCCTTGATTCTCCTGCTCTGCCTCTCCTTCGTTCCTTCTGCTGCCTCAGCCACTCTCATTATGAAAGAGTGGTAACTCTCACCTCAAAGGTCCTCTCTGAGTGGTGTGCCACCTGTAGGCAAATCTGAGGTAACAACTGTCCACTATACGAAAGGATAACAAACAGAAAGCATTGTGTGTGTGTGTGAGAGTGAACTTACCTGTCCCTGGCTCGAGCCGTGCATTTCTCAATGTGCGGCTTGAGCCTGGGTTGGGTTTGTTCCCATTGGTCGCGAGGATTTCACCCCCTGGTGTTCTCCTACCAACTTCGCGTCAATTTCCCAGCCTCCCACCTACCCATCCTTGAGCCTGCATACAACAAATACAACACATTACTACACCCTTTCTACACCACAATCATACTGGCACCTTATATGCACAAACGTACATATTCGGTGACAGCTGTCGGAGTTACCGCTATGCTCTTCTCTGCCTTGATTCTCCTGCTCTGCCTCTCCTTCGTTCCTTCTGCTGCCTCAGCCACTCTCTGCCCCCTCCTGTGCCCGTGCTCGCGCAGCTTGAGCGCGGGTCACAGGACCGTTGCGCTGAGGCCCGCTGCCTCTGATCACGGCAGTGTTCGTTTGATGCTCCTTCACTTGCGCCCCCGTGTCATTCTCCAGGACCAGCACCCCTGAAGGGCGCACCTCCTTGACCTTCCAGCGGACCGTACCCAGCCCCACATCCAGGGTGTCTTGCTTTGCCCTCTTGAGGTACACCTCCTGCCCTTCACAGACGCCTCTTGCCACTCGCCCCTCTCCCTTGCGCTGCCTCTGTTCGTACCTCCTTGCGTCCCTCAGCTGTGCAGTGTGCAGGTTCTCCAGTGCCGCTGGCAGCATGTAGCGCATGTAGCGCGCTCTCACCTCGGACAGGGCCACCCAGTTCTTGATCGTGCCTGCTGTCACCGTGTCTGTCAGTACCCGTGGTGCCTCCACTGGCAGGATTGGCTCTCTTCCGTAAAGGAGGCTGTACGGGGAGTGGTCCTTGAGTGCTGCCTGCTTCCCGAACCTGTACCCTGCGGCTATCCAATCCAACTCCTCATCCCAGTCCCTCTTCCTCTGCTCCCCATAGGCCCGCAGCCCCCGCTTGAAGGTCTGCACCGCTCGCTCGGTCAGCCCGTCGCTTTGTGGGTGGTAGCGGGAGGTTTTTCTGTGCGCTATGCCGGATTCCTTCAGCACCTTCTCAAATTCCCCCAGAAACTCCGTCCCCTGATCCGTGAGTACCTCCCCGCACGCTCCAAAGCGACACACCACCTGCGCCTTGAAGGCTGCTGCTATGTGCCTCGCGCTCTTGCTGGGGATGGCTTTCACCTCCAACCACTTGCTCGCATGCTCCACCATGAACACGATGTACCGATTTCCGCTCCTGCTGAGCGGCAGCTCTCCCGCGAGGTCCAAGGACCATCGGAATCCCAACCCGCAAATCGGCAGTGAATGCAGTTCTGCTTTGGCCTGCGTTAAGTTTGCCTTGCTCCTCTGACACGCCTCACACCCCTCCACCCACTCTTTCACTTGCTTGCGCATCCCTTCCCACCACCAGCCTGTCTTCAGCAGGTGTACAGTCCTCTCGTGCCCGAAGTGTCCCAGCTTCGTGTGCACCTCCTTGATCACTGCTTCACGGTCCGTGGGTGCAGGCACTAGCTTCCACCCGTCCTCTGTCTTGATCTGCAGCTGCCGCTGATACCACCTGTAGTGGTGCCCCCGTGCCCGCACTCTTTCTGACACTGTCTCGTCTTCCTCTGTTTCTCCTTTCACCCACCGCATTGCCTTCTCGTCCTGCCAGATGTCGGCTGGTCCCTTGCTCCCCTTGGCTCCGACCTCTTCCGCTTCTCTCGCCAGCATGATCAAGGTGTGTGCTGGCTCCAGCTCCGTCCCTTCCGTCCCCTGTGTTCTCTGTCCTGATTCCAGCGGTGGTGGGTTGCGAGAGAGACCGTCGACGTGCTGCAGCGTCTTCCCCGGCCTATGCCTGATCTGGAAATCATATTCTTGCAGCTTCACTGCCCACCTTGCGTTTCTTCCCGTCAGCCCTGGTGTGGTCATCAGCCAAGTGAGGGGCTGATGGTCAGTGACCAGTGTGAACTCGCGGCCCTGCAGGTACACCCTGAAATGCCCCACCGCCCACACGGCCGCCAGCCCCTCCCCTATGTATGAGCTATACTGCGCCTCTGCGGGGTTGCAGCTCCTGCTGGCGTAGGCTACCACTTTTTCCACTCCCTCCACTTCCTGGCACAGGATTGCCCCCATCCCCTGGCTGCTCCAATCGGTGTAGAGGACGAAGGGCTGGTCTGCTGCTGGCAGCCGCAGCACGGTTGCTGTCTTCACGGCTGTCATGAGGTCTTGCAGTGCTTCCCTCTGCTGTTCTCCCCACTCCCATGCCTTGTCCTCTCGCAGCATCCCGTTCAGCACTACCGCCCGCTTACTGAAGTTAGGCACGAAGCGCCTGTAGTAGCTGAGGAAGCCCAAGACTGCGCGCAGCCCTGTCTTGTCCCTGGGTTCCCTCAGCCTGTCCAGCACCTGCACCTTTGCTTGCTGAATCCCGATCTGTCCTCCTGAACTTCATACCCCAGGTACTGCACTGTCCGCTTCCCCCACCTGCACTTGTTGGGATGACAGGTGAGCCCTGCCTCCTCTATTGCACTCAGGGTCCGCTCCACGTCCTCAAGGTGCTGCTGCTCTGTCTGGCTGAAGATGACCACATCATCAATGTAGCATGCTGCATGTTCAATCCCCCGCAGCACCGCATCCATAACTCTCTGAAACACTGCCGAGGCATTCCGCAGGCCGAAGGGCATGTATAACCACTCATACAGCCCGTCCGCGGAAGTGGACACCAGTTAGGTGCCATTGCTTTAATACGTGGCAGCAACTTGGGTTCAACACCTGTAAAATGTCAGTAGTACTTTGTAAAAAATGCTTGTATAAAAATCACGGTGGTAACCGGTTTCGGCTAAAATGCCTTCTTCAGACCACAAGCGATCTACTGAACGCGTACTACTTTATATGCCTAGAAAATGTCATCCTAGACTCAGGCCCGCGCGGGAAATCTTCGCTGCGGCGAGTACGGGAACAACAGGCAAAAGCGAGATGAGAGAAAAAGTGTAACAGCAACAAAACTACTGTAGTCTAACACTTATTAGCAGAAATCAAATAACTGCCAACTCTCTTAGGTAATCTCCATGCGATTATAGCTCTCCTTGATGAAAAAATGTCGTGTGCCATAGTAACGAGGTGACTTTTGAGTCGACTCAAAAGTTTCCCCATGTGCGAACGGTCAACCAGCGGGTTGAGAAGCGATTTCAGCACAAGGGGGCCACGTTTAGGAGAATCGCGAATGGAAGAGGCACGGTAAAGAAATTCCCCCCGAGAGGCGAACGAGACTGACTTGAAGATTGGTAAAAGGAATCTCTCCGGGTATCCTCGAGCTCGCAGCCGAGCAAAGAAGAGGGCGCGGGAGTTGTAAAAGTCAGTACGAGAAGATGAGCGCAGTAGGAAACGATGAAGTTCATTGCGAATGAAACCCTGTTTGGTTGTACGGGTATGGTAAGACCTGAAAGGAAGGTATAAGTACCGATTCATGGGTTTTTGAAACAGCTTCACATCCAGAATTCCGGTTTTGCTGAAGCGTTCCCCCTTGAAAAAGGTCACATCCAAAAA